AAAACCACTGGGCCCCCCCCCCCCCAAAAAAAAAAAAAAAAGAAAGAAAGAAAGAAAGAAAAAGAAATCTTGCACATTTCTTCATATGGGAAAATACAGTCAATATTCAACTATAATAAATGCAGCATCTCCAACCAAAATGGCTATTCAGTCGGTGACATTAAGACAGACATTTTTTCTATCAGTGCCACCTCTCCTGTGAAGTTCAAGGATCCCTGTAATTTCCCAAAGAATGCCCGTATATTATTCTCATCTGGTAGCTCCATTAAAAAAGAGCTCAGATCCACTCAACCAGCCCCAAGGCACAGCTCAAGGATGCTGCTGTTGATTCATGCCGTCTGTGAGGCTGACTCTTGGAGCTGTTTCCCGGGATACCCAGAGCACCCTGGCCCTGGATGCAGCTCATTGTCCTGACTTGGTGGCAGACCCCCACCCCAACACTGCTGTCTTTCCCATCTTGACTCCCTGGACATTCTTTAAACTCTCCTTAAAGAATGTCCCAACTCTGGCCAACTCTGGCCACCAAGTTGAGGCCTCCTCAGCTCATCCAGGCTGCCTTGGCTCTGACCCTTCCTCTGGGAAAGAAAGCCACTCCTGCTCAGCAGCAGCATGTGCAGGGAAAGCAAGGATCATGTTTCCCAGTTTTATACCAAAATACCAACCCTACTGGCTAAACACGGCTGTCCAAAGCATATTCATTTCTCGTTAATCAACAACTTAAAATGCCAGTGCCCTGGGCTATCAGATGGTATGAACTCAAGCTGGGCTCGCTGCTTCTAATAATAGTCAGGACTGAGAAGACAGACAGAGCAGTCTGCGAGGGGCTGCAATGTCAGACTGCAAGCTTGGGCTGTTAGCTGCTCTCACTCTTCTCCATAGACTTGCCCAACACTTGTGCATACGCACATTGCTTCTCTTCCTATGTGGTTCCTGGTGACAAGTGTCAGCTTTGGCTGATGAATTCTGCCTCAGATTCAGCAATATTTGGTGCTCAAGGCCAAATATCCTTCTGCTCAAAAAAAAAAAAAATCGTAAGGACTCACTCAATTTCCTCTTAGCTGTTGATGCTGCCACACCCACAGCTAACTCTGTCCAAGGATTCTCACCCAAGAATCTGTAGATTTTTAAGTAATCGTGCATATATGCCAATCAATGGTACTCATCAGGAAGAGCGAATGTGGCTTAACGTGTTACTTAGTAGATGCGTGTACACATACTCTATAACTCGCTTTCACCTTCATCTCTGTAGGAATTTTACATCTTGGTGAGAATCACCAAGCTCACTAACAGGCATGAGCACAATGCAGAGCCAGCTCACAGGCCCATTGCATCCCACGGCCCTGAGTCCTTGGTTTGTGTCTAATAGGAGCTGACGGTGACAGCTGTGAGGTATATCATGCACTCTAAGGACAGTGGGACATAAAGTGCAATGAATCCCCCAGAACTAGTAGAGCAGCAAAACACCCTGGGGGTTTGTGCAGATTGCTGGTGCTGGGACTCAGTGGTAGAGTGAGTGCCTAGCATACATGAAAGTCCCAGGTTCAATCCCCACTACTGCCAAAAGAGGATGGAAGGAAGGCAGACAGGCTGAAGAACTGTGGGAGAACCAGGGAAAGCTGACAGTGGATGAGCCTACGCAGGGCATAGCAGCCACAGGAGGCAGCTCCCACAGGACTCCTGGCTCTGCAGATGCCAGCAGCTGCCCTATGTTATTGGGATGCATCCTAAGAAACAGTACCCCCCAGCCCCAGAACTACCTACCTCCCCCTCACATTACCCTGTGGCTCTCACAGTCAATGGGAAGGGCTAGCAGGGTCCTACACACAGTGGCCCACAAGTGTCTACTGAATGGGCAGAAAAGTTTCACAGAGAAAATGATACCAGGCCGCCTGAGAAACAACTGGGACTTAGTCATTTAAAAAAAAAATTAAATTAAATTCCAAATAAACTATCCAGTATGTATGCTAGAGTCAGGTGAGCCCAGGAGCTCTAGCTGGGACAATCCCCTGGGCGGTGCCCACTCAGAGACTCAGTGGTACATGACAATGACCCACAAAGCAGATGCGGTCTTTTCCTGCTCTCTACTTGTGGGTCTACATTTGTCTCTGGTGAGTTTCCTGAAACCACTTCCTAGTGGGAGCATCCTGACAGGTGTTCACCAGGTTCTGATTCCACTTAGGCCCATCTCACCCTTGGCCATGAGACTAGGGGAGGAAGGCACTTCAGTTAACTCGAAAGCTTGGCAATCACAGTTCATCTAGGAAAAAGCCTAAATAATTAACAACAACAACAACAAAAACAACCAAAACAAACAAACAAACAAAAAACCCAGGGACACCTATTTTCTGATTTTAAAAAGGAGACAGATGCTGGACATACACCAACCCCATGCTTTTCCTGAGAACTAAGAGAAAGCACACACACACGCACACACACAGAGTACCAACTTCTAAATGTAAAATAACAAAGCCAAGAACATATTACACTTTTTAAAATTGTATTTGCATTTGGAACCAGAAGGGAAGACAGTGAGCTAACTTTTGATAGTGGCTTAATTTTCTGCTCACAGCTTAGCACACAGCAGAAGCTTGCCAGTGTCACTTCCCGATCGCCACAGAACAGGGTGAGGTCCCCTCATGGGTGACTGTCCTGACCCACCTTCCCCTCCCACTGGGGCTCTGGTACTCCTTTGGCTGAGACATTAGGCTGGAGCTCCCAGCACTGTTTGGCCACCCACACACCGTCTGGAAGTTTCCTTCCCCAAATCAAGTCTGGCTACACCCTCTTCTGTTGACATATTTCTTTCTGGGGTGGCAAAGTCCCCGGGCAGGGAGAGACAGTGAGCATCACAGTCTACTGGCCCAGCTGTCCCTACAGAGCACATGACAGGCTTGGGCCTGGTTGGGAAGGTGGAGGAATAATGCATTGGTCTGAAGAGAAACAGGAAAGGCGAACTTCCATCCAGAATTGCACCATGGTGGACACGGGCTGGGCTCCGTAAGCAGGACCAGACCCCGCATAGGAAGGACCACTCCAGCAGCTTTTATTACTACTTACACATTCAAGCCTTCTTAACGGGCAAGCCCGGCAGTGTGGGGATGGAGCCAATGCTCCCCAATGGGTTCATTTGCTGGTTACGGGCAAGGTTGTGGAGAAGCCAGGGCCCTAATGCAGTTAAAGAGCCCACACACTGGCTGTTGGAAAGAATGCTGACTCAAGGTCTTAAAAACCAACAGCGGATAGGATGAAGGGGTATGGGCACCTATGACCGCCTTGGTCCTCTGGAGTGCATTTGCTCCCATGACTACTTACCCAGTGTTCACACTGTTCTTTGTATCACTATATAAGCCTCAGGGAAAACTTTTTTTTTTTAAATGAAAGAAATTGGTCAATTAAAAAAAATTACCCTGCTCTTTTCTGGTTCTAATTGAGAGGATCCAGACCCTAAACCCACTGTTAGATAGAAGCCAAAACCCAGTTTTTTCCAGCCTTCTGAGCTACAAAGCAGGCCTGGAAACTTACTACTAAAGGGCAAGCTCAAAGCCTGTGAGCTTTCTCCCTGGTCCTGGTTGGGCGAGCATGCCTGGCATCCGTGCTATGTGCACTCTGAGCCTAACCTCGAACAAAAACCACAGGAGCACACACATTCCAAGCAGGAGTGACGCGAGGGTGACACTGAAGGGAGCAGGTGCTCTCTCTTACAGTCCTAACACACCTCAGGGAAAGACCCAACCACGAGCCCCCCGCCGCCCCCCCTCCCTCGGCCTCCATTACCTCCTTCTGCTGCCGCTCCAGCTCCTTCATGCGGATCTCTCGAGCCTCGGCGCGGGCTGCACGCTTCGCTGCAAGCCTGGCCTCCGCCTGAAACAGACCCAGAAATGTTATTAGAGATCAGACCAGGCACCTTCCGGGTACACAGTTAATGATCCTGTGCAGAGGAAATCTTGTTTAGGGCTTAACAAGCATACAGTGGTGATTCACAGATCTCTCAGGTTGTCACGAGTTGGGAGAAGAGTAGCTATGAGTCCAGGAGCTCCTCCATATCAGTTAGCTGGGGTCCACCAAAGTCAAAAAACTTTACACGGAAATTTTCAGAAACAAATAATTCTTTTGCTTTTTTTTTTTTAAATAAACAACAACAACAAAAAAAACCCCGTGCAATGATAAACAAATGAAATCCAGCACCAATTTGTTCTCTCTTGCTCAGACTTTGATTCCCTTTCTCCAGCGTTTCCACGTCTTATGCACTATCTTCCTGTTAGTCACGGTCGGATCCACTCCAGCAATCGCCAGCGCTTGTATAAAAACACACCAGCGGTGACTCTGACAGTTTCCATATCAAGAAGAGCCTAGATGTACTTCCTTTTAACCAAGAGGTGAAAGTTCTTGACTCAAAAAGGAAAGGAAAACCATACGCTAAGATCGTCACACAGTCTACAGCATTGTTAACGTCTTACTGTGCCCAGTTTAGAAATAAAGTTACATCATAGATGTGCATACCTACGAGTAACACAGTCCAACAGTGTTTAGTACCATCTGCTGTCCCCTGAGGATAGGAGGGTGACTGTTGAACCCTCACTAAATGCCAGGTGGGCGCTGTTCTAAGTGCTTCATTTATGTTGTACGGCACACTCCTAGACACAGCCTGGTGTCAGAGCCAGGCAGCCCTGCAGGGCCCCAGTCTGGTGGCCTCACAGAGAGATCTACTCTGAGACTCCTGTCCAGTTCCTCTTGGCCTACCCTCATGCCATGACTTCCCTCCCCTCTGCAATCAGGGCAGCTCAGGTCCTCCCAAGGCAACCAAGGGCACAGTGGAGGGCTGTGGATGTAAGAGGCAGTCCTGGCATTAAAAGATCTTCATCTAAGGCAGGCGTTGGTGGTGCACGCCTTTAATCCCAGCAGTCAGGATGCAGAGGCAGGCGGATCTCTGTGAGTTCAAGGTCAGCCTGGTCTACAGAGCAAGTTCCAAGACAGGCTCCAAAGCTACACAGAGAAACCCTGTCTGGAAAAAACAAAAAAAACAAACAAAAAAACAAACAAAAAACAAAACAAAACAAAAAACAAAAAAACAAACTTCATCTAGCAATCTTTAGGCCCCCAGAAGATCAGCAATCAGAACACAGCTGACCATGCCAACCAAGGGGTCACAGATGGCATTTTGACCCTGTTGCATGACTAGAGATCATGTGAATGCTCTTATCTCATGCCACCCAGAAGCCAGGGAGGTAAAAGGCAGAATGTCCCAGAATTCAGGCTTTCCGGTGTCAAGTCCCACCTTCTTGGCAGGTAAGTTCCCTTGATACACAGTTAATAATTCTTCCACCCACAGCTCTGGAATTTTGTAATATCCCACTGTTACCTAGGTCATTTTAATACAGCATTTTCTGGACCCAGCTATCTAGTAGGGCCAGCCAGGAGCAAAAGCCTAAGCACATTTAGCTTTCTGATCGACAGACTCCCACTAGGAGATAGGTCCTGAATACTACCTCCCTGACCGCACGCACGCACGCACGCACCAGAAGACAAACTGACCCCTTTCCTTTCCCTCTGTTGCGGAATAT